CTGTAATTTTACTATGTTAAAGTTAAAGCCTTCCTTTTTATTTAGAAATAAAAGGGGAAATGATGTGGAATTCCCCTCTGTATGCTGCGAATATGTATTATTATTATTGGTTAATGACTAAACCTGTTTCATTCAGTGTCTTAGGAGAACAAAGCCAGGTGGGAAATCTGAACACACACACACACACACACACATATATATATATATATAGAGAGAGAGAGAAGGTGGAGTCAAGGAGATAACACATAGCTGCTAAAGGAGAAATATGCCCACTAGACCCTTACCAGTAAGCCACAACATAATGGCAATACACAGATTAATAGAAATGGATTAATTTAAGATGTAAGAGTTAGTTAAAAAGAAGCCTGAGCTAATAGGTCAAACAGTGTTGTAATTAATATAGTTTCTGTGTGATTATTCAGGCTTGGGAAAGGAACGAGCAGCTTCTGCCTACAAATAAATTTTTAAGAGAGTAAAATAGTACAGCAAACTACCAAATGACTAAAACCTGAATAATTTATCATCAACCCAGAAAAATACTGCATTACTTTTATTTAATTTTAACTTCTCATAGACTTATTTTTAATGTTTTCCCAATTTTTGTTACATTTAAAAAAAAATCCATTCTTGCCCTTTACTGAAAAGCTGGGCAGTCTATATCAATCAGCTAATACAGGAAGCTAAACGTTGTGAATCTTTAACATTTATATAGGACAGACACTATTTATATTAGACGGTGCATTATTGTTAATAGATAGTGGAAGGAGTTTTGTTTTTGATTTATTCTTCATCCTAGTAGATTAAGTTATTAGAAAGATTAAATCAGATTTAGAAAAAAATGCAAAAGCCTCATCTCCTTTATACATCTGAGAAAAATATAAGCAAAATAGTGCTATAATTTAGGAATCTTAAAGGAACCATAATCAATTTTCTATGCATCAGAAATGTTTTCTAAGGTAGTAAGTCTCATGAGCAAGATGTATGAAGAATTAGCTGAGTGTGAAGTCAACAGACTTGTGAAGTTCTATAAAATTTAGGTCATGTGTGTGCATAGCTGCAGATATGGAGGACTAGAGTACAAAGGGAGGTTGTCAACTTAACCATGAGAGGTAAATTCAGATGATGTTGCCTTATGAGATATTAAAGAGACAGAAGAAGGATAGCTTTCTTCTGCAACTCTTAATGAGCCTCAGAAATGCTTGGACAGAAAAAAAAAACTAGCAAGGAAATTTTTTTTTGCTTATTTACTTATTTTTTTAGTTGTTGTTTTTTTTTCTTCCCTAAAATTTGGAAAAGATGAGAATACCTATTATGGCTCTCTTGTTCTGCATTATGATAGATGTCCAATCAAGGAGCATGGATTGGGAGAAAAAAATAGAAATCCACCAGGAAGGAAAATGAAAATTGTCTCTATTTACAAATTATATCTTTGGTAGAGAAAATCCTAAGCAATCCAGTGAATCCATTTAGATAATAATCAGACTCAGCAAAGTGTAGGACATGATTATACAATCTATACACTAGCAATGAACACCTTCAAAGACAGGCTATTTTAAACAGCCTATAAAGCATAAAGTACTCAGAAGAAATTTAGGGGAAAATGTAAAATCTGAACTGTAAAACCTATAAAATATTGTTGAAAGTAAAAGTAAAACTTGAAAATCATAGAAACACTACCCAAAGTTTTAGTTTAGTTGAATATAGACTTTTTAAGTATGCCCTTATGATTTTCTGAAATTTGTCATTATCTGCAATATTTCCCTTTTCATTTTTGATTTTTAAAAATTTAAATATATATTAATCTTTATTTTTCTTTCATATATGTGTGTTTTGTCTGCATGTATGTGTGTTTACCACATGTATTCCTGGTGCCCATGGAGCTGGAAGAGTGTTCAGATCTCCCGGAACAGGAGATAAAATGATTGTGAGATGTCACTTGGGTATTGGGCCTTCTAGAGGAGCAGCTGCCGTTCTTAACTGTCTAGCCATTTTTCCCTCTTAATTTATTAATTTACATTATCTTTCTTTTGTTTAATTTGTCTAATCTTACCAACATTTCCAAAGAATCAAGTCTTCATTTAATTAATTAACTTGTTTCTATGTCTTTAATTTCGCAATGTTTTTGATGATCTCTTCCTGTTTATTTATTCTTTTGTGCTGTTGTGTGTTTCTGTTTTTCCCCCCATAGCTTTCAGGTGCATTATTAAGTTACTAGTATAGACTTTGTCAGGTTCTTGATGTAGGTATTTTGTGCTGTAAACTCTTCTCTTAGGACTTCTTCCTGTCTTGTAGATTTTGGTAAGTCCCATATTTCTCAACATTCATTAGAGAATCTTCCTTTTTGCAGCAGATGACAATTAACATAGAGGCCTGCACTGGGCACAGTGCAGAGAATACCAGATTGTGGAGTATTTAGCCATAAATGTGGTATCTATATCATACCTGTTGCCCAGGGATAAGGGATCATAACTGAGGAGGGGAGACAATGAGTGTAAGAACCAGAGTTGATAGATGACTACAAGGAAATCAGTGTTGAAAAAAAAAAAAAACACAGCAAGGTAGTTGCATAGTTGTGACACCATACATAGATGTGCTTGTTCAGGAAAGACAAAAATCCCTGTGTATGTGAGACAGAGAAAGAGAGAGAGACAGATAGAAACAGTGACAAAGAGAGATAGAGCTTGTTGTCATTGTCCCTGGGTTCTGGCCTTGAAACTGAGAGCATATCATTTCATAATGTTCTGTACTATTTTTTCAGTTTGTAAAATAGAGTCATACTTATGTTTTATCTTCAGAAAGATTATTTGGTGCATAGTACTATGAATGAGATGAATGAGATCCTATTTACATTTATATGTACAGGTGTAGCATAGTGCATACACACATATGTGTGCTATAAATACATTTATAATATACGTCACTATTATTTATTTGTGTTATAAGATCTTCATGTCCTTTGATAGATAAGAACATACATACTTAAATGATTTTATATTCACTAGGTGAACATGTTCATATAGAACACTTTAAAATCTTGACCACTTAACAAGCCATGCTTCTCTAAATCTGTTCAATTCTTATTGGTTACAACTCAGGCACATGTTCAAAGTTAAAATGAAAATTAAACTTAATAGATCTCTAGATGTTACAAGAATTGATTTTTTTGGTAGTTCTAGTGTCTTCAAGATTTTTGTCTTTCTCTAGCTACCAACTCTCTGTATATAGGCTTTTTTCTAACACATATTCATTCTTTCACCAAATGAGAACTAAAGGTTTCATTCATGATTACATCTCAAAATTGTGTCTCCTGAGTATACATCCTTCTCTCCATTGAGATCCAGCCTGGGAATTTCTGGTCCACTAACACAAAAGTACTTTTCTTCTGCATAGTGGTGGGACCAGGGAAAGACAACCTATCATTGATAGCCTATTCTCAAAAAATAATAAAATGGAATCACATTGAAGGTACTAAGTATTAGGTCATAAAACAATGCTGTTTCTATTAATTGATTTATCAAAACCATTGTCTTAATAGTCTTACCAATTTTAAATTTAGATTTTGGATATTTTTTGTCAATGAAGAGGAAGTTCTTGGGGAAAGAATACCTTTTGGCTTCACTATCTGGGAAGTTTTCTCTCATCTCTTATCCCAGTGAACAAATCTAACAAGGATTGGAGAAAGTGTTCTGTTTGAAGGTGTTTGCTATAAAATATGCTATGGTTTCAAAGCTCAGGTCATAACACTGGATATTTAGCATTATAAATCCTCAAATGTATAAAAGTTTCTAAAACCTCCAGCGTCATCTACCTGCTGGTAACCAAAGCCAAGGCTGTGCTGCAGACACAGCTTTTAAGGCTGTTTATTTGTCTGCTCACCGTCACTATACTCAGCTTTCCCTGAAGCCCTTCTGGATCAATAACTTAGATGGGAAGCAGAACTTTTCATTAGGTCTTTGCTATAAGGTTAGACACCTTTATTTAACCAAGAAGACTTAATGGACCTTTTTTTTTCATTTTTTTTATTTTATTGAGAATAAGAAAAAAAAAAGTTTCCGCCTCCTCCCAGCCTCCCATTTCCCTCCCCCTCCCCCACTCTTCTCCCCCTCCCCCCTCTCTTCTCCCCCTCCCCCCACTCCTCTCCCCCTCCCTCTCCTATCCTAAGAGCAGTCATGGTTCCCTGCCCTGTGGAAAGTCCAAGGTCCTCCCCCCTCCCTCCATGTCTAGGAANTAGACATTTTCACATATTTTATGATTTCAAGAGGTTGTTAAGGAAGGTGAACATCCAAACTGGGTAGGCTCCCACCAAACCAGATCATGAAGTAGGATCAAAACCCCTTGCCATTGACCTTGGCTTCTCATCAGTCCTCATTGTTCACCATGATCAGAGAGTCCGGTTTTATCCCATGCTGTTCCCGTCACAGTCCTGGACCTTTTATAGCCAAGTATTTTTCATTTTCAACTCTTCCTTGCTAAGTGGAATAAGGGAAGCACTTGTTTTTTTGTAACTGTTTTTCACATTTCAGTCTTACCTTCCACCTAGGCTTCAAAATTGGTCCACTTCACTGTGTTATTAACACATTGCTTCAAGTTAGAAATACTAAGCACACCAAATCATTACGAGTTTAATTGAAGTTTCATTTTACCCAAATTTAATAACATATAAGTACTATTAAGAATCAGGTATAAAAAGTAGGAATTAAAAAGTCTTATTTAGTTAAACCTAAAAAGTCTTTCTTATTTTTAATAAACGATAGCAGTCCTTAATTGTAATTAAGTTTCTACTGAACTTTAAATATCATGACACATTTTAATATTAGAAAGAGAGTGGATGTTGAAAGTTGATTAATAAAGCCAAATGTAGTTTACTTACAGTTTTTTTGAAACAATACTAAATAAAAATAAAGAATTGGAAATTTAAAGCTTCCAATACGTTAGTTTTTTATTTTACTTCTCTCTCTTTTCGCTGTAAATTTATAATCTCTCTTTTATTCTTTTCTAAGGCCAGTTCACAGAACAATCCATGAACAGAACATTGTGTGGAGGATGCTGAAGAAAATTCCACTATTATCCTCTCAACTCAGTGATGAACAACTGAAAATCCTGAGTAGAAATGTCGTTTCTGAAACCTGGACCAAAGGAAGCATAGGTATGTTGAATTATGTTGCGTGGAGAAATACCAGGCTAACTACAAAATAGACCAATTATATTTTCCTTTATATAAGGGGCAAACTAATGAAACAGGAATGAGAAGTTCAAGCTCTGCTGTGTAGTGCAGGAAACATAGAGAGAGAGTGAACCCTAGGCTGCTGGGCATTTCATTTTTCTCAGGGTACACAAAAGGTCAATCCTTAACCTGTTCCCACCCCTTAAAATTCATTGGTCAACAGAGATTTCCCATCACCCCCCCCTTTTGTCTAAATAAGAGAGTTCCAAACCCAAAACAAAACTATATGCAATAGGAACAGATATCAAGTATAAAATTAGGATTACAACCAACATAAACAATACTAAGCAAGGCACACATGCTAAATGTTGAATAAACATTTTATTTTAAAGAGGCTAAGCTTTGCATTGAAAATGGCTTGGCTAAATCATAAGAGGAAGGTAACTAAGACTATTTAATCTTCAACCCCATCGAAGGCCTGAGAAGGGAGATAATATTACTTGAGTAGACAGGAAGTGCAATCAAGCACCTTCCAAAGTGAGGAGTATATGACAGAGACAACTGGCTATCTGAGCAATCATCCAAAGTCTCATTTGCAATGTTGAAGCCACGAACTTTGGCTAAGGCCTAGCATAACTGACAGACCATTTTAGGAGGCATGAAAATTTTAGTATCATCTTATTCTGTCTTAGCTAGGTTTGGCATTTTTCTCCAGTATCCTGCTTATCCAGTCTAGACACCATGCACTTTTTCAGTGGTCAAAGAATGGACAGTTCCTTGCCCAAATACCAGTTGTGCCACAAAGAAAACAAACTCCAAGTGGAGTGTCTTTGGTGCTCAACATTCTCTCGGGTATAGATTAGTGCTGTCAGGAGCAAACCTGTCTCACATCAATAGAACCCTAAGTTATTTAAATGCCATGTTCTACAGATTCTTGAAGTGTTTGAAGATTACCTATCTAGGCAGAATACAATCTTTATGTATCTAAAGAACCTAATTAATCTGAATATATATAACTAACATGAACAACTATTGATCTATAATACTTAATGCCTGTATAACTTAAAGACTAAGACTTCAAATCAGAATATTAAATAATCTGTAAACAACTGTGCAGTAAATGAGGAAAATGACCTCAAAATGTAAACAGTGTATAAGTATTTTAATCAGAGGTAGCAATATATAATACAATATGACAATATATCTGAAAAATTGTATTAATATACAAAATGTCTTAAACAGAGGTAGAAACTTGCATGTATACAATCTGACAAAATAACTTTGCTTAGGTGTACAAATATTGTAAATAGTAATAACAAATATAATTTGAACTTGTATCAATATACAAAAACTATACCAATGTAAATTATCCATAAATAATAGCTCACAAGTATTCACTGTATTACCTAGTATTATAATTATTAGTGTGAATCAGTTCACACAAAATTATCTATTATCCCATTTAATTTTCCCTCTTTTTTTATTTTTGGGCCTACATGGTCTTTGCCTCAACCCTCTACCTTATACAGGTCATAATTAACTGCTAAATGGTGTCTCCAACCCTGAGGACAAATTTTGTTGAAAGAAAGAACATCATATTTTGGAATTACTTTTAGCTATCATAGGGGAGATTTTTTTTATTATTATTTTTTATTTTTTTAAATTTATTTATTTATT